AGCAAAAAGAGGAGGATTGGCATCAGATGTTAGCTCAGGGCTGATCTTCCTCACAAAAAAAAAAAAAGAAAGAAAAGAAAAGAAAAATGAACAAATCGTAACTTCTCCACTTTTTAAGTATTAGTTTTATTAAGTCTCCCAGAAAGATTTATCCTGTCATCCTTTCAAATGGAGATCTCAAACACTTTCCTAATGATTCTCCTAGCCAATTCTTGTTGGGATGCATTTCAAAAGGAGGTTACTGCATGGCATTCATATCTATTTACTTTTCCATAGAAATGTTGATTGGTTTCAGAAATATCTTGGTCCTTGTTTTTATATCAACAAACAAATAATAACAATACAAAAGTGAACCAACTGAAGTTAGAACTACTCCTTAAGTCCTGGTTAAATTATTCTTTTATAGCAACAACTCTTTAATAGCTTGAAGAAATGCAGAGAATAAATAGGTTTTTACAAAGCTTTACAATACATTTTTGTGTTTGCTGGGCCTCATATCCCTCGCTCCTCCTCTTCACTATCCTTCCTCCGTTCTGGTGTGTTTTTTTTGGCTATTCTTGCTTATTTGTTTCTCTGTATAAATTTTAGAATCAGTTCATCTGATTCCAGGAACAACACAAACAAAGAAACCTGTTGGCATTGGTATTGAGATAACTTCGAATTTATAAATTAATTTAGGGGAAATTCTTGTTTTTATGATGCTGGGTCTTACCATCCAGTTACATGCTGTGTCTTTCTGTTTCTTCAAGTCCACTTTTGTGTCTTTCAGGAGTATTTTAAAATTTCCTCGTCTAGATTTTGCACATTTCTTGTTAAAGTTACTAGGTATTTTATCTTTTTTTGTTGTCTCATCCACCATTTCTTCTAACTAGTTGTTTATATATATGTATATATATAGGCTATTGACTTCTTTAATTTATTTATTTTATTTTTGTGAGGAAGATCAGCCCTGAGCTAACATCCATGCCAATCCTCCTCTTTTTGCTGAGGAAGACTGGCCCTGGGCTAAGATCTGCGCCCATCTTCCTCCACTTTATATGGGACGCCGCCACAGCATGGCCGGACAAGCGGTGCGTAGGTGTGCACCCAGGATCCAAACCCAGGCCTCCAGCAGTGGAGCGCACACACAACCACTGTGCCATGGGGCCGGCCCCAGACTATTGATTTCTGAACCTTAATTTTGCATCTTACTAGCTTGTTAAATTGTATTATTGTTCATGGTAGTTTTGCAATTGATTCTCTTGAATTTTCCAGGTATACCATCATATTATCTAAAAATAGTGATAGTTTTACCTCTTCCTTCCCAATTCGTTACCTCTGCTTATTTTCTCTTGTCTAATTGCATTGACGAATACCTCATTTAATGTTAAACAGTAGTGGTGATTGTGAACATAATTCTCTTGTTCTGGACTTTAATAGGCATGTGCTATCTTAAATTCTAATCCCAATTCCAAGCCCAGTTACTCTCCATCCCAACCCTGAAGCCTTTCCCAGCCATTCGCTTCCCAGTTCGGGCTTTGTCTACCATCCTATATTGCTAGGTTTGGTCCCCACGCGACTAAAAGCAATCTGAGGGCAGTGGCCTGGTCATAGACTTCCCTGACTGCCCACAGCATCCACCCAAGGCCGTGGGGCCTTGCACAGAGTAGGTCCCCAACGAATCGTGCTTGGTTGATTAAACTAGGTGAGGTGAATTTCACTGTGTTGGTCTAATCTCCCCCAGTCTGGGAGACTTAGGGAAGTGCTGTCCTGAAGCAATCCAACCTTCCAGCTTCCGTTTCCTGCCAGGAGGAGAGGATGGGAGTTGGGAGTAGGTGAGAAGAACATTTTCTAGAGCCAGGCTCTGCCCCCTGCACCTCCGATGATCGCCAGTTTTCATCTCACTCTCCTACTGTTATCTTCACCAACCCACAGCACACAGCTTATCTAGCCTGGGTTGGCAGTAAAGTCCTCAGAACCACCTCGGCAACAAGTCTAAAATGCAGTTTCCTAGACTCCACACTAAGAGATTCTGATTTGGAGTGTAGCTTGGAGATCTGAGTGTCAGCAAACCCCTAGGTGACTCTGATATAGAGATTCCTGAGGCACATCTGGGGAAAACACTGGCTCAAGGAACCGAGTCCTCTGCTTGATTCATCCTCTGCACATATGCGAAGCACCTACTGTGCGAAGGCCCAAGGAAGATACACAGAGCCTGTCCTCCAGGCTATTGCCACCTCCCAGCAGAGGTCACACGAGTGGAGACACTACTGTTATCCCCATTTTGCAGCTAAGGAAAGAGGCTCAGAGAGGATAATCTGACCAATGTCACAAGACTAGTAAGTGATAGACACAATTGAGATACTGCTTCTTGAGAAAGGTGTCAGATTCTGAAGCTTATTGTCTTAATGATTTCTGTGTATAAATATATCTATCTTTTGAGTCACGTCGAACAGTTTACAAAATGCTTCAGTTTCAACAGATCCAGCCCCTGTGCGGTAACCTGACCTCACAGAGGTAGAGGGAGCTGTCCCATCAAGTCAGGGGCAGAGGCTGGCCGCAGCCCTGGTTCCTTGGGGCCACAGGCCATCTGTCAGCAGTTATGGTGCAGTGGGAGTTCAGGGGACAGATTTCTTCTGGATGAGGCAGGGTCATACTGAAGCAGAGGGTGAAGCTATTCAAAAGAATCATCACAGCCCGTCTCCTAGAAAGCCAATTACAGCAGACAATGGCCCATTGCCAAACCTCCTGATTCGTATTACTGGTGCCCAGACCAATTCAATCTCTGGAGGTGGGGCCCAGACAGAGGTGCTTTTTTTAACTCCCCAAGTGATTTTAATGAGTAGCCAGCATTAGAAATCACTGCTAGCCATTCACCTTGACTTTCTCCATTCCCTATTTCCTTAGTTGCAAGTGAAAATGACATCTAGGGGCCGGTGCAGTGGCATAGGCCCCGTGGCATAGTGGATAAGTTTGGTGTGCTCCGCTTCGGCGGTCCAGCTTCATAGGTTATGTCCTGGGTGCAGACCTACACCACTCATCAGCCATGCTGTGGCGGTGACCCACATACAAAATAGAGGAAAACTGGCACAGATGTCAGCTCAGGGTGAATCTTCCTCAGCAAAAAAAAAAAAAATACTTAAAATGACATCCAGACTCATCTGTACTTTCTCATTCCAGATGAAGGGAGAAGCTGGAAGTACGCTACATAATGAGAAGCCCAAGCAGGTAAATGCCAGCACCCCACCCACCCAACTGGTAAGAACGTAGCCAGTCGCTCTTTCCGTAGCTGCACTTGCTGCATTTCTGATGTCTCTCCCAAGGTTTAGGGGTAGCTGACACATTGGTAAAGTGCTCATGTCAATAGATGAGCAGAGACCACTTGACTCCAAAATGCCTTATAACCAAAGCCCCTTTGCCTGCAGGAGGGAGCACGCCTCCATTGTCTCTTGGCTCTTAGAATGCCGCCTCTCCAGGCCTTTGGAACCACCCCTTTCTATAACTGCTCTGGGAAAGAGAGAGGCCCGCTGGGGGCTGGAGACTGGGGCTGGGAACCAGCTCTTGACCCCAGCTACCTTCTGCACTGCGTGCTCCCCCGCTTCACAGAGCCCTTTGTCCTGTATGTATTCTCTTCACTTGGGCAGCTGGAGAGAGAGAAAACACGACCATCTCTGACAAAATATCTAATCCTATACATGAACTTGAGGTTTTAAATTTGACTTAGCTTGATTTGATTAAATTAAAATGAAAAATTCCTAGTGAGTCTGGAAAAGTTCCTGAAAAGGGTCCTCTAAATCCTAAAAAAGGAATAATTGGAATAGTCCAAAGTAACCTGTCTGACAAGCTTCAAATGGCCTGTGTAAAAGAACAAGTTCCTCTGGTCCTGCCGATTCACCCCTCAGAGAGAGAGAGAAGCTCATTTCCAGAGCTCAGGACCCCAGTGAGCACTAGCCCTTCGAAAACTTTTGTCTGGCCATGGAAAATGACTTACTTCTTTTTGGTCTTTTGATCAAAAGTGGGACGGGGTAAGCTGAGAAGAAAAGATTCATTGCAGATTCAGGTGCCTCTGAACCGGGCAGTCAAAACAATCTGCTCCTTCAGATCTCAAAGGTCTGGATTAAAACGTAGTATCCTATTAGATCAGCCTTCTCCCACAACTCCCCCCACCCCCACCCCCTATACATGGCCCATTCACTAACTGCAGGTTAGCCCCAGCCACACACCTATAGCGACCACCATCTCCAGTTCTCTCCCATGAAAGAACACGAGCAGACTCTATCTGGGCTTAGAAACATAGGATGTAAGGGACATTTGTAATTCCTGTCCATGGTACAACGGAAATTGGTGACACAACCGGCAGCCAGGGTTTTCTTTCTCCAAGTCTGGGATCTTCTTTTTTGATCATTGAGCTTGCAATGATCTCTGCTTTAGGATTTTGGAGGCTCACATATGAGGACCTCCCAGTGATTGCCAGTAGTCTATTCTTTGCCCCTAGAACGGTTCAACGTCCTGTCCAGCTGGCAATCCAGGCTAATCTCCCTGGAAGGCAGAAGAATTACTAAAAGTCAGAATATGTGTTCATTCACTCTTTTCTTCAAGGGCAAGAGGGTGGTGGGGATGGGAAAACAGGCCCGGCCCATGAACACAGTGAAGTCCCTACGTCCTCATCAAGGCTTCTGCAGTTCCTTCTGTGATGGCTGCCTCAGCCTTGCCTGCCCGCTGGAATTAGCCAGGGAGCTTTCACAGACGTGGAGACCCAGATCCCACCCCAGAGGCTCTTATGTGATTAGGTTGGGGAGGAGCCTGGGCATCGGGATTTTTAAAAAGCTCCCAGGTGATTCCAATGTGTAGATAATGGGCATCTCTGTTCAACAAGAGGACTGGTGATGAAACCCCACAGCTGTTGGAGGCTCACCTCTCCTCTGAGTGATAAAATTGCCTGCTAGTTTCTCTGGAGTCTGGTTTGTTCCCTCCCCTCCCCCAACCTTGAGCTCTAATTTTCATAAACACACCCATATGCAGCCTGACAGCTCTTGATAAGGAGGAGCCTCCCACAGAAGCTGGGAAAAGGTCAGCAGATGTGCTGTGCCATGCTGGGGTGTGGAAGTCCTGATAGTGCGTCACTCCTGTCAGGCGGCAGCAGTGAGCTGCCTGTGAAGGCAGGAGGCTTGCTGCGGCCTGACACTTTCTTGTCCTCCCCTAGGAGGGACACATCTGGGGCTCCATGAGGAGGACGGCTTTCACCCTGGGTTCTGGCCTTCTCTTGCTTGTGGCCTTCTGGAACTCAGTGACGTGGTGAGTCTGCTTGGCCAGCTTTAATTCAGGACCTGGGAGCAGTGTCATGGTGGTCTGGGGGTAGAACATGGAGTCACCAGCTGTCCGCCCACCAGTCTTAAGCCAGAAACCTGAATGATTTTTCTTCCAAGGCATCTTCAGAGATTTTGGGGTGCTTCTGGCTACTTTTGGCAAGCCCAATGGGAGAGGTTGCTGTCTACATTCGAAGGAAAGGAATGGATCCTCTACATTTTAGGTGAGGTTCCCAGACCACCAGCACGTAGGGCTTGGGTACATGATTATAGTTTAATTCTTTTTCTATTGTTTCACTCTCTACTTTGGGACTTCTCAGCTTGTATGCCAAAGAATATGGACTTAAAGTTTGAGACAGTGGTAACCCCAAAGAGTGCTAAACTTGTGGGCAATCTGGAATGGGTGTCTAAGGATATCTATGAAAGAAATGTGAGAAGTTGAGACCCCTCCTGCCCAAAAAAAATTAAAAAATGAGAAAAGAAATAGTTTGTGTGAAAAATGAATGCATGTTTAGAGCAATAATCCTGCTTCCAGATGTCAGGTCCACAAGTACAGAGAGCTGCTCTATCTCTTGTGAAGTTGCGTCCTTGCACCTGGCATAGTCTAGCTCTCAGGGCTTGACAGCAAGCGGTCAATCAATAAATATTTACTGACAGTATGAAGGGCTCAAAACAAGCCTAAGAAAATGTGGTGGAAGAAAAAGGCCATTTCAACACAGCTGTTTATGACAGCATTATCTACAATAGTGAAAGTCCTCAATCATACATTTATTCACATAATTTATTATTATGATTCACAATCATAAATATTATTCATAATAATATTTATTAATGTTACTCTGTGCCCAACTTGTACGGAGGATAAGAGATATTTAAGATAAAATGTTTGTCTACCCCATCAAAAAACTATGCCACAGTCTGGAAGGGGAGATAAAAAAGTGTCAATTGTCACAAAGCAAAAGTACAAATAAAATGTTCCTGCCTATTGTTTTCAGCTAGAAGGAGAACTCTGAAAATGAGCTGAACATTACATATGACAGGTTCAATGGAATCTTAAGCAGTCATTGAAAAGAACAATACAGGGGCTGGTCCTGTGGCATGGTGGTTAAGTTCGGCGTGCTCTGTATTGGTGGCCTGGGTTCGCAGGTTCAGATCCCAGGCGTGGACCTACACCACTCGTCAGCCATGCTGTGGCAGTAACCAACGTGCAAAACAGAGGAAGATTGGCACAGATGTTAGCTCAGGGTGAGTCTTCCTCAAAAAAAAACTATGCAGATTGTGAACATATATGGAGAAAGTTGTGGGAAAACATTTCGTATATTTATGTTACAATGGTAGGAAAACTAACCTATCACCTCGGTGATAAGCAAATACCAGAGAGATAAAAAGTTTTCAATTTTAAGTGTTAGCACTGGAAGAAAGTTCAAGATCATCTCTTGTTGTGGTTTTCATTCTGTTCCTCAAGGAGCCTTTGGATTTCCAAGTGGGCAGCCACCCTGAAGAATGGCCCACTAGGCAACTACCAACCTAACATTTTTTTTCCAAAATAAAAAAGTTTGTTATTTTTGAGAATAAAAATAAATACATGCTCATTGTTAAAAATAAAAGTCAGCCAAATCAAATAAGCATAAAGAAGGTGAAAATCACCTACTCTCCCATATCCAAGAAATAACCACATTAATATATTAATATAAATCTCTTATATATTGGATATACGGTTGAACTTATAAGGTATCAACTATTTTTTTAACAGTTTTTTCCTATCGAATAGATTGTAGACATCTTTCCATGTCGATTAATGTTTTAAGCTGCCCAATCTATTCCACTGCATGGAAATACTCTAATCTATTTGGTCCATTCTTACTAATGGACATTTAGGCTGTTTCACTGTGATTTTTAAAAAATGCTATGATGGTCATTTTTTCTTTCTCTCTGTCTTTCTGTCTCTGTCTTTCTGTCTTTGTCTCTCTGTCTCTCTCTTTTTTTTCACTTCAGATACTGCCAAATTGCCCTCTAGGATGTTTGTGCCAATCATGTTTCCCCACAGTGCTGGCCGAGTATTTTTCAGGTATCAATTGTCACAAGGCACTGTGGTTGATGGAGCAAGAAGGGTACTGGAGGAGGGATACAGAGACACAGAGTTCAGTAGAACATCCTTGCCCCTTGGGATGTTGAATTTAGAGGAGGAGGCAAAACACGGACAAATAAAGTTAATAGTACAGGAGTCAGGTAACACTGCAACGTCTCTTGAATAACTGCCAGTTGCAGTGGACCAAGTGCTTGTTTGTTCACAGCTGGAGATCAGGGGTACTTGGAATGACTTCATGGAAAAATGGGATGTGGAGCAAAAACCACATCTAAATTTTAAGTCTTGATCAGCATTTTCTGAAATATCCTGTGGAACATCAGTGCTGCAGGATGTTAATAGGTGGGGTGGCCATATAATTTATCATCCAAATAGGGACACTTGTGAGAGTAAATGAGGTGTTATGAATAGTTATGCTGGAATGATGATGTAAATTGAAATTGTCCTGGGCAAACAGGGATGCAGGGCCACCCTGTTCTTAGGTGTTCTGAGAAAACAGAATTCTAGGGTAAAAAAAGCCTGGGAAAGGTTGAGTTTAACCAAGTCGACAGGTTTCTCCACTGCAGGAATTCTCAAGCTGTTAACACAGTAGTCTGGACCATGACTCTCCAAGAGAGAAGGGTATGAAGACTGTTTAACCAAGGAGCCCCTTGAGAGATGAGTTCTCCACTTGGGGAAATGCTGATTAGACACCTGATGTCCCACTGCTCCGTTAGCAGGGTAATAGGGATTAGGTCCCTGATGGACTCCTAGTCCAGTGCTCGTTGTGAACCATACCATACCAAGCACTTCCTTTGCTTCTCCCTTCCTTGGCAATTCATAAATGGTTCGATGGGCACAGACGCCCAAATGTCAACCTAAATCCATTTATATTTTAGAGTGTATCTTAACATAATTATTTTTTGTCCCCAACCACCTACAAGGTTGTTGTCCTCATTTTACAACTAAGAAAATAAATAGAGACACTCCTTAAGTGACCTGTCCAAGTTCCCACAGCTAGTTTGTCACCCCAGGACTAAAGGTAGGCCCCCTGGCCCCGAGCACCAAGACCTCCCTGGCAAGAGACTGCCTACAATGCAGCCTTTGTCACCATCGAGAGTGTGTTCACTTAAACATGTGTGGGAACCTGAAGTTGCCCTGATTCTCTCCTCTGCTTCCCAACCTTAGGTGCCACCCAAGTGCCCACTCTGCTCTTCTGGAGCTTCAGTGGGCTTCTACTGGTGGTTGACACGACCGGAAAACCTAACTTCATCTCCCGCTACCGAATTCAGCTTGGCAAGAACGAACCAGTAAGTGTTGCTGCAGCTTCTCCTGTCAAAGCACAGAAAGCGAGAGCTCAAGCCACACTCTCCAAATCCTCACCGCTGGCCCAGGAGAAACCACGGCCAGTGGGAGCCAAGTCACTGTGGGCAAGGCTCCCCCAACTCAGAAGGTTAGAGAGAGGAAGTAATTTGCCCCAAATCTCAGAGCCAGCTGGTCAAGACTAATGTTCTGGTCTTCTGATTCCCAGCCCCGGCTCTGTACCTGCCTGTGCTGCCCCACAGCACTGCAGTCAGCACTGTGGGAACAGAAATGTTTGTCTTAGCCTGGCACTGGGCTGAGTCCCAGGGATGTCAGGCCGCTCCCCCGCATCCGTGGGAGCAGGGACAACAATGGCTGGATGATGGAATCATGGGTGACGGCTGTCGTGAGCAAGGGAGACAGCTGCTGAAACAATGGCTAACCCCATTATTATAGGTGGATGCTATGGAATCCAAATGTGTGGGTGGTGGTTGTTTTTAAGTAGGTCCTCCTTCCCAATTATTCACTTCAACCAATAGTGCATAGTTTATTCGTGATAACAAGGCCCAGATCCTGCTTATGAGGAACTGCTGGCCCAGTAGGGGAGAGAAGGCCAGCACACACATCTCAGACTTACATAGCCCCGGGAAGTGAGCCCCACTGCTCCCAGAGCCCGGCTTGCCTGCGTGGTGCTCTGACAACCTCCAGGAGCCTTTTCTTACACAACAAGGAAGAAGTTGATTCTTGAAACCCAGATTCTTTCCCCAGCTCCACCCAAACCACACCTTGGCTTCTTTTCCAGGCAAGACAATCATCTCTGAATTATCTGCCCTGGTGCCTGGATGAGTCACCTCAGCTCTCAGGGCAGTGTGCCCCAGCCCAGCACTCCAGAAAGCAGAATGGGTGAAAAACAGTGCCCCTGACCCAGGCTTTCAGAACAGCCCCCTCCTGAAGCAGAGTTGCTAGCCTGGCTCCCAGCCCCCCTCACTTGAGATAATAGCTGCCAGCCGGCTTCCCACGGCATGGACTGGGGCCTAAGCATTCAAGCCAGTGCTTGATGCTGAGAGCCCTTCACCTGTCGGACCACAGTGATCTCCTTACCTGGCACCATTGATTAAATGCTTATATCTTCAAGGCCAATGACTGTAATCACCTTCATCGTTCAGATGAGGAAACAGAGGCTTTGAGATATGGCATGGGTAGAACCATGATTCACCCTCAAGCTTTCTGAATCCAGGGTTTGTGCTCTTAGCCACCAGGCCACACCAGCTCTCAAGAATATCACCTAACACGTAACATTTCACAGTCTACAATGATTGGAGGACCACACTGGGAAGGTCTTGTTGCATTTTGCAGAAGCTGAGGTCAGAAAGGTGCAGTAACTAGCTCAAGACTGCTACTAGGAAACAGAGCCAGGGCCTGTCTCATCTGATTCCAGGTCCAGGGCTCCTACACTGTGTGCACCCTCAGGTGGGCACACAAGTAAGAAGGAAGCCCCAGAGGCCATTTTGTTTTTGACCGGTTCCAAGAAGGCCTGACCCCAGACCTAAGACATCAGAAACAGATTCTCAAGTGGGACCTGAAGGCTGCCAGCATTCATAAGACTCCATTCCTTGTCTGTTTACTTTCCCATTGTCCTGGATAGCTAGTTCACACCTTCTCTTCTCTCCACAAATCCCCAATGCCTCCTCCCCTGACCTCCTCCAAGAGGAAGGCCTTGCTTCCTACTTCACTAGGTAAATTGGAGCAAGCAGAAGAGAGCTCACCCAGACTTCCACCACATCAGCCTACGAGCAGCGCCTGCACACAGATGCTCTGCCTTCCCACCCGATACAGCGCGTGAACCCTCCTGGCTCCTCTCTGTAGCCCATTCCTCCACTCTCTGTGCACTACATCCATCACCTCTCGTTTCCTCCAGGAAACTGCTCCAGCAATTCTCCCTTCTCCTTCTTTTTTTTTTTTTTTTATAATTTTTATTTATTTATTTATTTATTTTTCCCCCAAAGCCCCAGTAGATAGTTGTATGTCATAGTTGCACATCCCTTCTCCTTCTTGTATCTTTTTTTTTTTTTTTTCCTCCCTCTCCTAGATTATTCCTCTCTGGATTAATATAAACATGCTGTAATTTTTCTTTCTTTCTTTCTTTCTTTTTTTGTGATGAAGATTGGCCCTGAGCTAACATCTGCCAATACTCCTCTTTTTGCTGAGGAAGACTAGCCGTGGGCTAACATCCATGCCCATCTTCCTCCACTTTATATGGGACGCTGCCACAGCATGGCTTGCCAAGCAGTGTGTGGGTGTGCACCTGGGATCTGAACCTGCGAACCCCGGGCCGCCGCAGCGGAGCGCGCGCACTTAACAGCTTGCGCCACCGGGCCGGCCCCCATGCTGTAATTTTTCCCATCTTCAAACCAAACCAAACAAAAAACCCTTGACTCCATCTCCCGTACTCACTACCATTTGTTTTTGCTCCCCTTTGCAGCTAAGCTCTTTGAAGTTGTTGTCTATACAGTTTTCAATTCCTGTCTGTCCACTCTCTATTTCCCAACATTTTGTAATGATGAAAAATTGTAAGCATACATACAGAAGTTGAAAAAGTAGTACAATGATCACTCATTTATACATCACCTAGATTCACCAGTTTTAAACATTTTCTAGTATTTGTTTTATCTGTATGTAAAAATATAAATATTTATGCATCTATAATTTTTTGCTTAACCATTTGAAAGTAAGTTCCAGACATTATAAAACTTCACCCTAAATCCTTCAGCCTTCATCTCCCAAAATAATCACAAAACCATCATCTCCCCTCCTCTGTGAACCTCCTCCAATCAGGCCTGCACCCTCACCGGTCCACCGAAATTGCTCTCCGCAAGGTCACCCAGTGTTCTTGTCTCATGAGACCTACCGGGAGCGTTTTCCCAGCTGCTCATTCCCTCATCCCTGTTATATCTTCTTATGCCTGGCTTCCAAGACACCCCACTCTCTTGGTTCTCCTCCCATCTCACTAGTCACTCCTTCACAGTCTCCTTTCTGGTTCCTCTTCTTCTCCCCAGCCTTTTAATGTTGAGTGCCCTAGGGCTCAGGCCTCAGTCTTCTTCTCTATCTTCATTCCCTCAGTTATCTCTTCCAGTGTCATGACTTTAAATACAATCTATATGCTGACAGCTCACAAGTTTATATCTCTAGCCCAGAACTCTCGCCTGAATTCCATGCTCAAATACCCACTGTCTCTTTGACATCTCCACATCGATGTCTAATGGACATCTCCAATCCAATGTGTCCCAAAGAGAGTTTCTGATCTCCTCTGCAAGGCCAATGCCACTCACAGCCTCCCCATTCTGAGTTGATGGCAATTCCACTCTTTAATTGCTTAGGCCAAAAGCCTTGGAGTCATCACTGACTACTCTCTTTCCCTCATACTCCACATCCAATCTATCAGGAAACCCTACTGGGTCTATTTCCAACATAGATCCAGAATCTGACCACTTCTCACTCCCTCCATTGCTACGACCCTAGTCTGAGCCACCATCCTCTTTTTTGTATTATTGTAGTTCTAATTGGTCTCCCTATTTCTATTCTTGCTCCCCTACAGTCTATTCTCAACAGAGTAACCCTGTAAGATTTTGTCACTTCTCTGCTCACAACCCTGCAATGACTCCCCATTTCTCTTGGAGTAAAAGCCAAAGTGCTCACAATGGCCTACAAAGCCCTATATGCTCTGGCTCCTCCCCATCTCTTTGAGCTCACCACCTACTTCTCCCCACCTTACCCGCTCACTCTTCTCCAGCCAAGTATGCCAGAAAGAGGTCTGTCTTAGAGCCTTCTCACCAGCTATTCCCTTTACCTGAAGACTCTTCCCCCAGATATGTTTGTTTCCCTCACCTTCTTCATCTTCTTGTTCAAATCTCAGCATCTCAATGAAGCCTACCCTGACCGTTCTATTTTAAATTATTGGTGCCAGGAACATAAACTCAGTGAGGGCAGGAATCTTTTGTTTTGTTCATTACTTGCTTCCCAGCATGTGGAACACTGCCTGCTACAGAGAGGGTGCTCAGTAAATGAACGAATAAACGTATGTGACACCCTCCTCTTGGTCAAGGTTTCCAGAAGAGGTGTTCAGCTTCATCTACAGGTGCTCTCAAACCAGGCTGGCCAGACCAGACTTCACGATGGGATGGAACTAAAAGCTGACAGAGTGAATTCTGAAGTCAGTTAATATATGCAGTGCCTGGAGAAGCTGAAGGAAGAGGACGGCCCGAAGTCAGGAACTGAACTGAACTCTGAACGCAGCCTCACCTGGGGGCAGAACTCTTCCAGCTTACAGAGGGAACTCAGGGAGAAATCCCTTCTGACCAATCCCAAACCATTTCATCAGGACCCAGGAAGTGACCTGTGGTTATGGGGCTATTCCTGGGAGCCCCATTGCTCTGACGAAGGGAAGGGTCAGGGGGTTACTGATTCCTGGGGAAATGCTGGCTGTAGTATTGAGGCTCAGCGGGGGAGGGGCATTTGGGGCCAGCTCTCCACAGTGACCCTGGAGAGAATGCTCAGGTAGTCCCCATCCTGACAGCTCCTCCGTGAAAGCCAAGAAGACCAGGCCACAGGAAGTTAGTCAGGAGGCCAGATAGGCAGCTCCCTGGCTCAACTTCTGCTTTGCTCTGGGCCTAGTCCAGTGAGACTGGACCACGTGAGGAGGCAGACGACCTTGATCTCTGCATCTGATCGTGGTCAGGGCTCTCTGGATGAAGGGCTAAAAGGCTGAATAAGGACATCAATGTGAGAGTTGACAACCTTCTGCAAGCCCCCTGGAGGCTCCTCAGCATCCTGTCTGGAATATGGCAGGCCTGGCCAGAGAAATGGGGAGGACAGTGGTGACAGCTGCAGAACCAGGAAGAAGGAGGCAGGCTCAGGTAGAGACTGAAGGCTGCTGGAAGGGGAATTTCCAAAGGTGGAGGCATTACCAGATGGTTCCACTCCAGGGTTGGGCAGCAGTCAGGGGCTGCTGGCTATAGCCAGACATCACTCCTAGCATCCACCCCTGAGTGAGGGCCTCCTGTGAGTGGGTCACAGTGGAGCCTAGTTTCTAGAAGGGAAAGACATACTACTCACTCTTGTGCATCTCCCTCCTTCCTTTCCTTGGGCAGGTGGACCCCATGAAACTACGCCAGTCTATCCGCACAGTTCTCTTCAACCAGTACGTGATCTCTTTCCCCGTGCTGGTCTTCCTCTATCCCATCCTCAAGTTGTGGGGAGACCCCTGCCGCCGAGAGCTCCCCACCTTCCACTGGTTCCTCCTGGAGCTGGCCCTCTTCACTCTGATTGAGGAAGTCATGTTCTACTACTCACACCGGTGAGCAGCTCCTCACTCTCCTAGGGCTCACTTTTAAACAAGGAAACTGGGGCCTTGGAATTGTAGGTGTAGGACCAATACCATCTAGCCTGAAAAGCCTCCCATGAAGTAGTTAACAGGGAGACAACTATTTTTTCCACAACTGACAACTTGAGACCACTGAGGAATGTCCAGAAAAGAAGGAGCCTTCTCCAGTCACGTGTGCAGCAGGGCAGTTTCCCATTTGTTTCCTTTCTGGGCATCACCCCCATTTTACAGCTGACACAACTGAGGTAGAGAGAGGCAAAGTAACCCACCCTCAAATTACGCAGCATGAGAAGTGGGGTTAGAGCTTGAAGGCAGGTCTAAGTGCCAATCCACTGTGTTTTCAACTTTGCTCCATAGATGTAACCCCTAGTTCCTACCTTTGGTTTCTCATGGTCTCGTGAGGGAAGGAGAAAGGGAGATTGGCAGATTATTAACTATTAACTATTTTCCCAGGCTCCTTCACCACCCAACATTCTACAAGAAAATCCACAAGAAACACCATGAGTGGACAGCTCCCATTGGCGTGATTGCTCTCTATGCCCACCCTATTGAGCATGTGGTGAGCAGAGCTCCTCTCTCCCCAAAGGCAAAAGGCAGAGGGCCCCAGCCACCTTCCCTGAGATCTCCTGCAGAGAATTAGACCACTCTGGACCTTTCCTTCTTTCCACTAAACAGCCACTATTTAGTATTAACCTAGCATATGCCAGCCTATGCCAGATGCCAACATAAGTTATCTCATTTAATCCTCCCAACAACCTTTGTAATCCTCATTTTGCTAATGAGGAGATTGAGGTTCCAACAGGTAATAACTTGTCCCAAGTTACAAAGCTGAATGACTCCAGCAAATTGAGGTCCTGAAACTCTCAGCTTCTCCAGATCTCAATCAAGGAGGTCTTCCTGGTACTACCCTGGGACAGAGTGGACACCCAGCTGGGTCCCCTCCATCTCCCTGGGGCCCGCCTTCCAACAGCCCTCTCTTTGCAGGCCTCCAACATGCTGCCAGCGATGGTGGGTCCCATAGTAATGGGCTCCCACTTGTCCTCCATGACCATGTGGTTTTCCTTGGCCCTCATCATCACCATCATCTCTCACTGTGGCTACCATCTACCCTTCTTGCCTTCACCTGAATTCCATGACTATCACCATCTCAAGTAAGGCCCCTGTCCCCACTGTGGGTCCCTGGGCAGTAACCTCCACCTTCACTCCTGGAGTTTCTGATAGCAGACATGACACTGGTGCCTCAGTTTAGACGTGGGTGCTAGTGGAGGTAGAGGTCTGGAGGTGGGGAAAATAATGACTGCACTGGACCCAGACCACCTTGCCCTTTTCCTTCTTTCTGACACTGGGTCTTCTTGCAACTGTAGCTTTTTAACCTTTATTTAGGTTCTGGACCCTTTGAGTATCTAATGTAAGCTATGGACACAGTCAGAACAATACATAAAAAATCCCGCATGCAGGGGCCAGCCCGGTGGTGTAGCAGTTAAGTGTGCACATTCCACTTTGGCAGCCCAGGGTTCGCAGGTTTGGATCCTGGGCGCGCACTGATGCACCGCTTATCAAGCCATGCTGTGGCGGTGTCCCATATAAAGTAGAGAAAGATGGGCACAGATGTTAGCCCAGGGCCAATCTTCCTCAGCAAAAAAAAAAAGAGGAGGATTGGCAACAGATGTTAGCTCAGGGCTAATCTTCCTCAAAAAAAAAAAAATCCTGCATGCAATTCAAGGGCAGTTGCGTGCTCTTTGAAAGCCTCCAGGCTTTTTCAAGTGCGGTCTATGAACCTCCTGCACCAGAATCACCTGAGATGCTTTTTTCAAATGCAGGCTCTTGGGTTCCACTCCAAATATGCTGAATCAAAGTATGTGAGGGAGCAGGGCCTAGAAATCTGCATTTTAATAAGTGTTGCAGAGGATTCTGCTGGAGGTGGTCCCTGAACCCACCCAAACAAGCTCTGTCACAGGTTCTGACTTGTGTGCATCAGAATCACAGACAGCCTTTCAAAGGAAGATCAGAGATTTTCAGTCTGGAGTGGCCCCAGGAATGTGTGCTACACCTCCCCGGGTTATTCTGATGCAGGTGCTCAGCACGGTGGGGACAGGTGTGGGGTAGGAGGGCTTAGAAATGCGTGAGAGGCCGGCACAACTGAGATGGAGGTCAGCACGCTGGCCTCAAGCACCCTCCTCTCTCCTCTAGGTTCAACCAGTGCTATGGGGTGCTGGGGGTGCTGGACCACCTCCACGGGACTGACACCGTGTTTAAGCAGACCAAGTCCTACGAGAGACACATCCTCCTGCTGGGCTTCACTCCACTCTCTGAGAGCATCCCTGACCCCCCGAAGAAGACTGAGTGAGAGAGGGCCCAAGTGCCACCCTGGCTGTCCCCTCAGCAGGGGACTGCTAAGGTGGCCTGAGGCCTCCTGATCGCACCTCATAACTTGCTCCTTCAGCCATGCTCTCTCTAATGATGGCCCCATGAGGGCAGAGGGAAGGTCAGCTTCCTAGCAAAGCAGGGCCAAGGATGGGATTGGGCTCCCCCAGTTGCCCCTGTTGTCCCTCATGGGGACCAGGAGTTGGCTTAAGGAAGGGGAAAAAACAGCTCCCCAGAATGGCCAGTCAGAGGGAAGAAAACACTTTGAGGGGGCTCCTGGCAAGTCCTCTGCTGTGGAAGGGGTGAGAGACCCCAGATGACTCCTTTGTGGCCTAGGCAAGACGTAGAGAATGACAAAGGTGGCAGCAAGACTGGAGGCTCTATCTGGGAGAGCTCCTTCTGGTGTCCGGGGTTGGGGGAACCAGAAGACATCACTTTGCCCCTTTCTGTCCCAAAAAGCTTTTCTCATACTCTATTCAGGTCAGGGCCAGGACACTCTGGCAGTGGTTACGGGGTCAATTCCCCATTACCCCCAACACACACACACACACGCATGCACGCACACACACACACACTGAGTCAGTGACAAAGGCCCCGTTTCAACTCTGCCCCACTGCAAACAAACATCATCCCTCTCTGAAAAGAAAAATACCGATCACAGAAGCTCCTCCCTGGATTAGAACTGAGATACCAGCGAGGTGCAGACCAAGCCCCAGTACCTTCAGCCATACATGGAAAGCAAAGGCCAAGCCCTGTGGACTTGCTGAGCTGGGGGTCCTTTTATCCATGGGGGGGGGGGGGGGGGTCAGAGTTGCTGACTTTTGGGGACACCCAACAGAGGCTCCATATTGGCCTCTCTGAAGCACTTTCAAAGAGGCTAGAACCCTCTTCCTCCAATGAGAAGGCAAGAAAAATATGACTGAACAAAGGGCAAAACCTTCATTTTTTTCCCCAAATGATTAACCAGTTGTCTCAAGACCATTTATTCTGGATGATTTCAGCAGTGATGCTGTTTTCAAGGGAAACCTTCCCAGGAACCTTATCATCTAAAGCGAAAGCACAGAGTGGCTGGGGTGGAAGCAGTCCCCACCCTGGCCTTCCCTCAGCCACCAATGACATGGCCGGGAACCTGTGGCTCCCAAGAACAACTGGAAGACCACTCTTTGGTTTGAAAGGCCACCATTATCAGTCACTAAATTCTTATATATACTTGGGTCTATCTCTGGACTTTCAGTTCTCTTCTGTCCAGAAAACCACCCGCGGTAGTTTCGTAAGACTTTAGTATCTGATAGGGCCAAATCTCCAGGCAGAACTATCAAAAAGAATTTCTTTCTAATGGCCCCCAAGGACATGCCCAGTAGGCCAACTGGGCGCTGACCAGGCAGCGAGCTCCCTGGCCTTCGAAAGCCATACCCACCCTCCTCTGGCCTTGGTGGGCCTGGCCCCTCCCTACGACAGCTTGTGCCCTCAGCTTAAGCACAGCTTCTGGCGCATCACTGCTCTAAGTTCTCACAGCTGCTGGCCTGCACCCACAACTTGCTGCTACAGACAGACATTTGGAAAATAGCCCATCTTCAGTATACCTAAGAGGGGGAGGGAATGAGGAGTGTGGATAAAGAGGAGGAACAGATGCATTTTCTCCCTTTACGGTCTTCAGGTTTTGAGGTACTGTAGGGGCCCAGAGGGACAAGAGGCTGTCATTCTCTCACCCCTTTTGGGAGGCAGGTGGTGGGCCCTGGCCGAGGGGTCCAGCTCTATCCTCTTCTGCATCAAACAGAATGGCCCTGAGGTTGGTAAACAAATAAGGCTCAAGAAAAGGCTGAGGTCTCAAAATTCCCAGCAGAATATGTGAATGTAAAAAGAGAAAGCATGGAAAATAAACTGGTGTCCCTTTCATTCCAGTAGATGCTTCACTTTTTTTTCTTCACTACATGACTCATACCAACACTCACGATCATATGGCATCTGGGAACCACAGCAGGGCACTTAATCAGTGGCCTCACTCATGAGCATTCCTAACAGGTTGTGGAAGGAGACTAAATTAACTGTCTGCCCGTTCCCAAGTCAGTCTGCAGAAGCCCTCGACACTACCTCTTAAACCCTCCTTTGGCCTATGGAGGCCATTGGTGGTATTCAAGTACCTGCCCACCTAATGGACAGTGGAATTCTCTAGAAAACCCTTTTCGATGGGATGCTCAGGCACGTGAGACAGTTGTCAGATGAATGAGTAAACAAGGCCACGCCTCATTTTTAGTTTTGTAATTATACATCTAGGCCAGACTGGCATTCAGACTATTATTACTGCCAGCACCCAACCTCATGGTCTGAAAAAAGTCACCAACAGCCCAGAGGCCAGTCTTGGGAGGCGGGGGGAGGTGCTCATTGTTCCATCCTTCCCGAGTGTCACTCCTCAGACCTGGACTCCACACGGCCAGAGTGTTGAACTGTTACTCCTTTACATGCCAGCAGGGAAGTCTGTTCACTGAGGGGCTGTGCCAGCCCTCCGTGAGGAATCACAGCAACCTCTATCTTCCTGGCTGTCTCCTAACATAGCCAGTGCATGAAAACCTGGGAGCGGAGCAAGATTTCAAGGCTGAATCCTGGAACTCGATCTGTTGGACTGGTGTCTCTTTGTTCTGTGACACTGGCTATAGCTCCCACATCTCACTTAAGACACAAGGTGGACATGAACTCAAAGCTGGCAGAAACTCTCAGGACTGCTGGGGAATTCACCTGGACACACCAGCAGCCTTAGAAGCTCTGTAACGAGCCCATGCCTTAGGCCGACTCCCCAGAAGCCCAATGGCAGAGCCCTGCAAAGGGTTCGTGTGTACGTGCTGAGTGCAGGGTTCCTCTGGATCTGAGGGAACCCTCACCAGGCCCCCTCCCTCACACCCGACAACTGTACCCCCAATGGGAGACCAGCCAGTATTTTGCCTTTTCAAGTTTTTATTTTTATACATTTTTTTGTATTAAAAAGAAAAGCATAATTACCACAAATTACAAAGGACTAAAGCAGGACTAGAATAATGAATGATTCACTTCAGCCTGGAAAGCAGATACTCTCAATAATATTAATGTTATAATACAAGCTCATTCAAGTATTTTACATTTTTTTTTGTCCTTTTAAATGTGATATCCTAGCACATGGTAAAGATAACGTACTATGAGCATAAAGTGGAACCTTCTCCACAAGCCAGATGACAAGTTTTCCTCTCCAGTGAGAAATGGGCTGTAAAGTTCTGATCTTCTCTGCCTCTGCCATCAACATGGCTGAAGGAGAGGGTGGGAGCTGAGGCAAATCTAGGGACCCTTCCATACAGGAGATACTTTGGGGTCCCACTCAGGAGGGCGCCAGATGATCCAGACCACTCTACCCAGGCTTTTGGCAAAAAACCACCCCCAGCCCCCGGCTAGTCATCTTCCTTGCCCCTCCTCCCCACTTCCAGGGCCTTCTGAGCAGCTTACTTTCTTCCGTAAATCAGTCATCAATAAAGGGGAAAAAAAGAGCTACAACGGAACAAAACAAAAACGTAACAACTTTGACATGGGGGCTCAGCACCTCGATCTGAGCCGCAGGGGTCCAGGCTGGGGCAGGGCGGGGCAGCCCCTCTCTACTGGTAGTGCATCTGCTCCCAGGTTTAGGCGAGGGCGAAAGAGAAACCTGCCTCATAGCAAAGCTGAGGCACACAGACCTTCTGATGTTTGATGCCCAAAGTCGGGACGGCACGGACCAATCTTGGAAGGGTGCAGGACGAACAGAAGGATTTGGGCAGGCTGTTGCTTTGTGTCTCAGATCTTGGATCCCCATGGGAGGATGGTGGGTGTGAAGTGGCAAGCCCTGATGGCCCTGCGCCCACCACTCCTGGCATGCTTGTCACAGATACATCGGTCCTAAATTCAAGTGTCTTCAGAAGGTGAAGATGTAAACTACTCCTTGCAACATTAACTCCTAACATGTTACAAAAAAAAAAAAAAAGAAAAAAAAGCCCCCTCCCCCCAATCCTCAGCCTATGTTGAGATGAAGTCCTCACCTTCCCACCCCAAAAGAGCTTCCTCTTTCTGGGGTGTCTGTGGGGAGGATCAAGGAAAGGATGGCAGCCCCCTGGCCTGGGAGTAAACTCTAGATAAGAACAACCTTTTCCCACACTCCCAAGGCTTCCCTGTGCCCCTAAACCCAGCAGAGGACAAACACTGAGGTTTCTGTGGCGTTGGATACAGTACAGGGCTGAGCGACCCAAAGGAAAGAAAGGAGGCATCAAGGGATGGAGGAAAGGGTGCAGGAGTCCAGTGTCTGGTACAAGGTGGGGCAGGCACCAGACGGCAGCAGGGAAAGGCCTCAGATCCCATTATCATAGCAGAGACCAGACACTCATCCTTGGCTTTCGAGACAACCGGATCACAGGAACTGAGATGCGCTTCCCACATACTAACCACTGGGAGGGCAGGGGGGTGTGGGAGGGCGCAGGCCAAAAGCAAAGAGGTGCCCAAGACAGAGGGCAAGCCCTTGCCAGCCTGGGATACTGTCTCCTACTCCCAACCTTTGGGCCCAACAGAGGAAGCAGTTGAAAAAGAGGGCCAAGGAAGTGTCAGCGATTGAGCAACACTATCACGAACTTCTCTGTGCTGCCTGGTCCCCAATGGGGGTGAACGCGTCATCACGCCTGCACCTGACACACAGCCCAGTCCGTGTGGGTCAGTCCTTTGTCACCCTCCCTAGCTTCGGATGCCAGTAGACTCCAGCCATTCCATTGTCATTCACAGCCCAAGCAGTCAGTGGCTGGAGAAGAGAAGGCAGGTATACTCTATGTCCACATATACCTTCCTGCCGTGGAGCTTCTCCGACTGGCAGGATTTCCCCCCAGCCCCCAAATCCTCCTCATCCCTCGTTCACAGGCAGGGTCAACTGGAGGGTGGGCAGAGACGGCTTGCAGAGGGGGGATGATGCAAGATGGGGAGACGCCACCAGACCCGAGGGAGGAGAATGGCATCTTTCTCCACCTTTTATGAGACAAAGCCTCCTTGAGGTCTCAGAGATCTTTCAGGGCCAACACAAGAAACATTTCAAAGCCTCAGCTGCTAGGTGTTCACCCTTCCCCTCTGAGGTGGGGGAGGCCGTCAAGCTGAGGATGACGTGTCCAGACTCAGGCCAATGCTGTTCTCCAACAGTTTGAAGCAAACTTGGCCTTGGGGTTCCAAGGGTAGGATGAAGGGTGTC